TAGAGTATTTACAGTATCATGGTATTTAAATGGGTATTTACAGTATTTAGAGTATTTACAGTATCATGGTATTTAAATGGCATTTACAAGCCATTTTTCACTCATACAGCGCTTTATAAGGTCAGACTGCGTCTCCAGAAAAAGGATTTTAAGTTCATGTAATCATGTAACACTGTCGTGGCTCCACACCTGTTTGTGGGTTTCTATGTTTACTGACCTTTCACCTCATCTGTGTTTGGGTCAATGAGCCTCTCTGGACCACAGTCCATGGCACTGTGAGCACAACGCTGGACACACAGAACATCATTCAAGATAGATACAGTCTAAATAATACAATTACAGATCATGATTATAGATGAGATTAAAACATGTAGACAGCACAGAGTTTGAAAGACTGACCGGAGGCCTGTTCACCATCCAGTACGCCCTCTCCTGGCAGTCAAACACCACGCGATCTGGCTTCTTCCTCTCTTTGCCAGCCCTGACACATGTACAAGCAGGTAAGTGGGGTATTAAGAGGAAATCATCTGTGAAAACCTAAAACCAAACAACAGAAGTGCCTACAAGACCCGTCACAGCATCAGGACCAATCACTGTACATCAGTGACCACGCTGCAGCAAACTGCACTTTAAGAAATAGTCTCAAAAACCAGCATCTGTGGTGGCAGCGGGCATTATACATTACGAGCTGTGATAGTGTCACTTACTTATACTGTTCAGCTGCTTGCATCACAATGAAATCCCATTTGTGGTTCAGCCATTCATGGAGGTGATTGTAATGTGCCTGTTTGAAACACAAACACACAGCATGGAGCAGCAAGGTGAAAATCCCTTTTAGTTTAAGAGTTTAATCAGCACGTGCTGACTGCATTCTTGTTATAACCAGGAGATGAAAGAGCCTGTGATCGGTGAGACGCCAGAGAAACAGAAAGGTGAAGAGGAGCATCAAAAAGACAGAAAGAGGGCCCACAGAGTAAAAGGAGCCACTGTGGCACAACCGAGGCAGAAGCTATGGGGCCGGTGACGTTTGAAAAGTTAAATGTCTTATGAATGAATACTTCATCACCATTTCATTCCTGCTGCTTCAAATAGAAAAATAGTGAAACAAGAAGAACCAAAATTGCACTGTTGGTTGTGTCAGTATCATTCTGGGACATCAGCCTTCAACTTAAATCTCCCAGCTTAAATCTGAGAAGCCTTATTGAGTTGAAGACCAGTAGACTTAATGTATTCCAGTTAATAATGGAATAATGACTGTGCTACTCATTACACATCTAGAAGCAGACACATTGTCTACCTGTTCATATGGTTCCAACACGCCCTTCTTCCGGATGTTCCGCTTTGCCAGGTAAATGGCTAAAACCACAAAACCAAATAAAAACACAGTCAAAACACAAAAAGTAACTTTTATTCATCAGATTATTAGCTACAATAAACAAAGCCAGTCTTTCTATGAACAACATTATTTTCTTTATAATTTACTGGTTTAAATGTGTTTGTTTAATAGAAATCCCGTTAATTTCATAGTTGTTTCTATGTCCTCCAGGTTACTGCTTCATACTGTTGCTATATTAAAGGTATGGAAGCAAAGTGGTTCATTAGCAGCTTTAACTCACATGAACGATTTCAAATTATTCGATCCTACGATGTCATAAAATTAGCCCAGTGTTTCCATGCTGCAGACAACCACTGTGCGACCGCTGCAGCACAGCTCTGACATGATGTTGGCACACTGACTCAACACAGGCTTGTTTCTCCTGGGCTGCCTCTGTGGACCAGCTCTCAGGTGTTCCACTTCTTATTTGAGGAAATGTTTAACATTGAAAATAATAACGCTGTTTGCCGAGTGCATCGTGGGAGGCTTTTTCTTTGAAAAAGATCAGGCTTTGTTTCTGAGAAGATCAGGCGAGAACGTTTTTACTTATCTTTGTGGGGGAAGAAATTTAAATACAAAACTTTTGTCAATTAATTCAACTTAAATATATTTACCTACAAACAGACAGTCAAGTTTTATTGTTAGTTTAAGTGAGTTGTATCCATTAATACTCCTACCAGTCGTTCTCTGAATTTATTTATTGTTGCACACTTCCTGTAAATCCAATAAACTTAATTTCACTTCTCAAATATCACTGTGTGTGTCTCCTATATGATATATTTAACTGACATTTTTTATTGTAACAACCATCGATTTATACAGGAAAATAATGACTATTAACAAGGTTGCCCAAACCTTTGCATCCCACTGTAAATGTTTAATATATGGTGACTGAGGTATGACACCGCCTGCAGGTTCCTGCAGAAACAAAGTGCAGGTAAGTTCATATCACAGGATACCCACCATAATCAGAGTCGTCTGGGACCCATTTCTGTGTTGGCCAGAAGTAAGGAGTCTGAAAACATTGAAAATGAAACCAGTTATATGTTTGCTTTCAATGTTTATTTAAAATGTTTCTGGACATTACTGAAACAACTAAATTACAGCAAACAGTCTAAAGAAAGCTCATGTCCTTCCCTGACCTTTACCTGTACCCACACTCTTTGGTTTGGTTTAATGAATCGTTTGCCAACATAAAACAGCCCACACACACAGACATGGCCAGCACAGAATTATTTTATGTCATAAAAACATAGTGCAAGCAAATCATTTCATTTCACAGGAGTTTATTCCCAGTCGCACAACAATGTGTGTAGAACTCAGGATGGATGAGCACGTGAAGTCATCACACACGTGTCTGCTGAAAAACCAACTGTGGTTTACTTTAATGCTGGAGGCAAGTCTCTGCACCGCTGTCCCATCAGTCTGTTGTAGAAAAGGATGAAACGTTTCAGGACTTAAAAACAAAAACTCATAACGAGAATCAGTCAACACCTTGACAGTCAGTCAAGGTGTCAGTGAGTCCAGTTTCCTTCACCATCAAAGGCTCAGAAACAAACTGTGACAGGAAGAGGTCTGCAGACCCAAAGACACGAGTGAACCAGAGGACAAGTTTCTGAGAGTTAGCAGCTTGTGTGATGGTGGCTCACAGGACATCAGCTTCAAGCAGCTTAATAGTCTCAGTTTCAGCTGTGAAGAGAAAACTTCAAGCTGCAGGTTTGACAGGATGAGTTGCAGCAAGAAAGCCAGACTTCAGAATAGGACAAAGAGGCCTGACTGGGCCATGAAACACCACCATTGGACTGCTGAAGACTGGAAGAAAGTATTATGGACTCATGGATCAACATTTGAACTCATGCAGGATCTTTGTATGCCGTCAAGTAGGTGAAAGGACGGTTCCACAGTGTGTGGCATCAACTATCAAACATGGAGGGGGAAGTGTGATGGTCTCAGGCTGTTAGCTGAATCCAGGGTCGGTGACTTGTACAGAGTGAGAGGCTCCCTGAACCAAAACAGCTACCACAGCATCCTGCAGCACCATGCAGGACCCTCTGGTATGTGTCTAGTTGGTCAAGGGTTCATCCAAAACATAAATCCAAGCTATGCCAGAACTACCTCAGGAAAAAAGAACAAGATGGTGAGCTTGAAAACATGGAGTGTCCAGCACAGTCTCTTTACTACCTCAATTCTCAAAAGTTCTTGAAAAACTGTTTAAAACCAAACTGGAAAAATTTATAGATAAACATAAACTACTCACCGAGAGTCAGAACGGATTCAGATCAAACAGATCAACATCATCGGCACTATTAGATTCAATAGAGTACATCACAAACTCCACAGACAAAAGGCAACATGTGGCTGGGTTATTCAGAGACTTGACAAAGGCATTTGACTATAGATCCTGATATATTAATAAGAGAACTGGAACGTTATGGTGTCAGAGGGTCGCTTTAGATTGGGTCCGGAGTTATTTAGGTGACAGGAAGCAGTTTGTGAAATTAAATGGTGGTTGCTCCTTATGTATGCACATTGCTTGTGGGTCAGTTTTGGGTCCAAAAGTCTTCAACATTAAAGACATCTGTAAAGTGTCCAAAGCATTAAAAGTGGTTCTCTTTGCTGACCAGACAAACATCTTCTGCTCTGGTGATGATCTGCAGAATTTATTGGAGGATATGAAATAAGTAAAGTGAAGTTCTGGCTTGATAAAAACAAATTATCATTAAATTTGAATAAATCTAAACTTATGTTATTTGGAAATAGTAGTTTAAATACAAATGCTGAGATTCAAATAAATGGTGTTGATATTGAAAGAGTCAGTGAAAATAAATTTCTGGGGGTAATAACAGATGAAAACCTTAACTGAGAGCTCACGTAAGATATATTCATTCCAAAGTATCACGAAGCATTGCAGTACTAAACAAGGCAAAACAGGTATTAGACAAACATCACTTCATATTCTCTACTGTTCACTGGTTTCACCATACTTAAGCTATTGTGCAGAGGTCTGGGGCAATAACTATAAAACCACATTACATTCACGTTTTACTCTTCAAAAAAAAGCAATTTGAATCATCCACACTGCAGGTTACAGGAACATACAAACTCACTATTTTTGCAGTCGATCTAGTGAAATTCCAAACAGCACAAATTATATTCAAAGCAAAAAATAAAAAACTGCCAGGAAATATTCAGAGTATGTTTGTTTTGAAAGAAGGAAGTTATAATTTAAGGGGTTTTTGTAACTTCAAAACAGGGAAGGTACGTACTACAAGAAAAGGCTTTTGTGTTTCTGTGCATGGAGTGAAACTGGAACAGTCTGAATATGGAATTAAAGCAACGTCCAAACATAAAACAGTTCAAAAAAATATGATCTTCTCCAACTATAAAGAAAAGGAAAATATTTAAATTTAAAAACAAACAAACTCATGATGTGATATTATAGTTTATAGTATATCAGAAATCTGTTCACTATTTTTATTACAAATGATACCAGTAATGAAGCTGATTAAATATTAACTGATAATTTATGGCAAAGGGGTGGGATTAAATAAGTGTTTACTTCTTCCCTTTCAACATGTAAATTAATCAGAACGTTTTTTGTATGTATTTTGTAAAGTATTTTTTTTCTTTCTTATTTTCTTTTATAAATGTACCTGTATATTGTTCACATGTTGAAATAAAAAATTACCAACCAACAGTCTCCAGACTTAAACCCATCGAGCTGGTTTGAACTGGACAGAAGAGTGAAAGCAAAGCAACCAGAAGGTCCACATTTATGGGAACTTCTGCTCCAGATGGGAGAAGATTTCTATTGCAGAAAGAATGACACGGCTGTGTTCAGCTGGTATATCTGCCAAAGGTGCGACTTTGATGAATCAAAGTTTAAAATACATTTTGGTCTATAAACTGATTCCATCTTTTTCAACTCTTTATTTGTACTACACTTTCATTTAAGAATGCAAAGAGACATTAAACTGCATAACTTTCAATAACAAACTGGAAAATTGGGGTGTTCTAAAACTCTTGACTAGTAGTGTGTGTGTTTCTATCCTTTTCCTTCAGGCTCAGAGGGAACGTTTTCTGCCTGGTATCAGGCTGAAAAACAGTTTCCTTGGAGGAGCCAGAGGACAATCCCTCATCCAAGTCCCCCCTCAGGTCTAAACAAGGCAAAATCTGAAGGCATGAAGACATCAAGGGATTCCAGATGATTCAACATCTTGCTCATCATACAAATCTGTACTCTGATTGGAGGATCCAGCCCACAGGCCTAAAGGGTTTCTTAGCAGTCTATATGGGTATTTTCAGTTTCCCTTTGCTGAAGGACGTGTGGCACCATGAATCACGTTTTCATGCAGTAGCTGATATCAGTCAATGAAGTGGTTCCACCTGTTATGTTGTTTGTGTGTATGGTTATAATCCTGCAGAGCGTGCGTGAGTGCTAGCACATCTTTCAAAGTTTCCTGTCCAGTTAGTCTGAGGCCTGTACTATGAAGCACGAGTTTACTTATCCAGGAAACATCGAGGTTAACCCTGGGTTCTGTATCACCACCGTGAGAACCCTGAACCCTTCTTACCAAAGTACATTGCCATGGTAACTTACGCTGCAAACCTAACCTACTCTGGAGCAGGTTACAGGATCCAGATTAGAGATTAACAGGCATGAAATCATTGCCTGTTGACCGATCAATTCTCCAGAAAATGGTTAAAATAGCAGCCTCGAAGTCTTGGTGTTGGCTTGATGAGCATCAGTAATATACTGCAGCCATGGACCCAACTTTATTCATGTTGACTGCAAACTATTTTACATACACTACCAATCAAAGGTTTGTTTTTTCTTTATTTTCACAACTATTTATTTATTCCATCCATCCATCCATCGTCATCCGCTTTATCCGGGGCCGGGTCGCGGGGGCAGCAGCCTAAGCAAAGAGGCCCAGACCTCCCTCTCCCCAGCCACCTCCTCCAGCTTATCCGGGGGAACACCAAGGCGTTCCCAGGCCAGCCGAGAGATATAATCTCTCCAGCGTGTCCTGGGTCTGCCCCGGGGCCTCCTCCCGGTGGGACATGCCTGGAACACCTCACCCAGGAGGCGCCCAGGGGGCATCCTTGTCAGATGCCCGAACCACCTCAGCTGGCTCCTTTCGATGTGGAGCAGCAGCTGCTCTACTCTGAGCCCCTCCCGGATGGCCGAACTTCTCACCCTATCTCTAAGGGAGAGGCCAGCCACCCTTCGGAGGAAGCTCATTTCTGCCGCTTGTATCCGCGATCTCGTTCTTTCGGTCACTACCCACAGCTCGTGGCCATAGGTGAGGGTAGGGACGTAGATCGACCGGTAAATTGAGAGCTTCGCTTTTACACTCAGCTCCCTCTTCACCACGACGGACCGGTGCAGCGTCCGCATTACTGCAGCTGCAGCCCCAATCCGTCTGTCGATCTCCGGCTCCCTTCTCCCATCACTCGCGAACAAGACCCCGAGATACTTGAACTCCTCCACTTGGGGCAGGAACTCATCCCCGACCCGGAGTGGGCACTCCACCCTTTTCCGGCTGAGAACCATGGCCTCAGATTTGGAGGTGCTGATCCTCATTCCCGCTGCTTCACACTCGGCTGGAACCGCTCCTATTTATTTATTTATTTATTATATTGTAGATTCTCACTGAAGCCATCAAAACTATGAATGAACACGTGGAAATATGTAGTGAACAAAAAAGTGGGAAATAACTCCAAACATGTTTGATATTTCAGATTCTTTGCTTTGATTCCTGCTTTGCTCTCTCGGCGTCTCCATGAGCTTCATGAGGTCGTCTCCTGAAATGGTTTCCAACAGTCTTGAAGGAGTTCAGAGATGCTGAGCACTTGTTGGTCCTTTGCCTTCACTCTGCGCTCCATCCACATATATTTGAAGATTAAGCCAGGACATTCTTGGCTAAAACATGTTGACAGTGTATGGGTGACAGACAAACAGGGTGTTTCAAAAGGTTAGGCATCGTTTGGGTCCACACATGTCCAAACGATTGTGTGTAGGCTGTGTTGGTACCATTACAAGAACAGCAACCAGACCAAAGCAATGATTTTGACTCGATCGGCTGACAGATAAAATACATTTATGAACACAGCTGCAGGGCCAGGAGTGCCAGCATGGATTCAATTAATATATCATTAAATGATTAATTAAATACTTAATTAAGTCATTAAACCAAAAATTAAACAAATGGGCTTTTAATTAATTATTTTTGTGTTTATTTAATTAATTTATAAAACATTTAATTCATTGTTTAATGATGTATTTATTTAATTCATTTGTTGATTGACTGCTCCCCCTTTCCAACCTGTGTGCGCACAGACGCGTCAGCAGGACTGCGTCTGAGTTCTACGCTCACAGGTTGTTGATTTTATGCACAACGAATGTCATTGCTAATAAATACCTGCACCCACAGAATGAAATGATTTGCTCAGATTATGTTTTTTTCTCACGTGTAACTTCTGACAAATTCCATATAAACTCCTTCACATGCTTTACCTATGATGGGACAGTGTGGGACTCTTATCACATGTAGCAAAGGTGAAGCAAACATTTACCTGGAAACGGTACAGGCTGCTGTCGTTGCACATGACCAGCTTCTTATGGTTCTGCAGCGGGTAGATGTAACCATAAGCTACCAACATGGTGCCAAAGGCCTGAGCCTCTGGAACAAAGGCAGGAAAGAAAGAAAATAAAACCAGTTCAAACAACATTTGGCTGGTGTTCTCTTAAATATAAACTCATAATACAGAGGTAATATCCCAGCTATTATAGGGCAAGAGGCAGGGTGACAGTCTATCGCGGGGCTAACACACAGAGACAGGCACCGTTCACACTCACATTCACACCTATGGGTGAGTTACCAATTAACCTAACCCCACTAACTGCATGTCTGAACTGTGGGAGGAAGCCCAGCACCCAGAGGGAACCCACGCAAACACAGGAAGGAAATGCCAACTCCACTTTGTTTGTCCGCTGCTTTCAAAAAGTTCTTTAGTTTTGTTTGTTTTTTTAAACAAACAAACAAACTTGTACTGATTTTTCCAAACCCATACATTAATAATTAATAGACACTAAAACTGGCTGAAAGAAAACATTTCAGAAAATAAAAACTAACTTGAAAAGAGCAAACTCACAATGGAAACTAAGTGAAACTACACTGAAGTAAAAGCAAAAAGGCAAAAAGAAATAAAACTATAGTAACTCTGGTAAATGGTGTGTGCAGTGATTTAATGTGTCGAAGTGCAGGGCTGCAGTACATTTGGAAAAAGAGCTTTGATCGTACCTTCTGTAGTGGTCTTCATTTTGTTGCTAATCCAAGCAATTGTGTCATTACCTGTGTGGAGACACAGATATACTGATCAGAATGAAGAACACTTAAATCACACGTCTTTGTGTTTATGTTGTGTCATTTGTTGGTCAGTGGAAACCAAAATTAAATCCTTTGAAAGAATGGGTTCAAAATCAAAAAGAGCAAAAAGAAAATAATTTCATCCCAAATAATTTTAATGAAAGCCAGAAACACGAGTACACTGGAGGTTCATTTGGAAATCCTGTTCAGAAAGAAGCAGATGCTGACATGATTCTTGCTTTATCAGCAAAAACCAGAAGATAGAAACAACTTAAGAATATAAATTCACAAAGAAAGAACCAAATAGCTCAGCTGTTCCAAAGTGTTAAATGTGGACTATAAACATTAGGTTACATTCCTTTAATAATGTCTTACACAGACATGGTTACGGCATGATTAGTATGTTAGTTTAAATGAATCATCACCCCGAGTCATACCAACCACCAGATACAGTTTTATTTTATTTGAGAACCTGGCACACAGCCTTATATAGGCTCAGATACAATAATCATAGTAGGTCATTTTAACATGCATGCAGGTGCTGGAAATGACAGCCTCAGCCGTGCATTTCATCTAGTATGAGACGAGAATCAGGCATTTCTCAAACTATCAGTGAGCCTGCTCAGCACATCATCACATAAAAACAGAACATGTAACAGTAAACTCTGAAACCCTTCTTTAGTCTGATCATTTCTTAATAACATTTACAGTAATAGATTACACAGCGGGGAGCACGGTGGTTAGCACTGCTGCCTCACAACAAGCAGCTTCTGCTTATCTTTACCAGGCTGACTTCAACTATTATTCATTGTTCCAGTTTGGATTCAGGAGACAGACACTATCTCTACTTTCAAGATTAGGCTTCAAACTTTCCTTTTTGCTAAAGCATATAGTTAGGGCTGGATCAGGTGACCCTGAATCCTCCCTTAGTTATGCTGCAATACCCACATAACAGACATGACATACCCTGCCATGACTTCTGGCATGGCAGGGTATGCCAACCAGATGTGGGCCAGGTCTGGCAATACAGCTATGGTAATCAAAGTTTCAAATGCAGGTTTGACAGGTTTGTGAGTGTACACTTTATCCAAAACCTAGTGAGGGTTGACTCATGTTTACCACCGGGTGGCTGTGGCTCAGGAGGCAGAGCAGGTCACCTACTGATCGGACGGTTAGTGGTTTGATCCCTGGCTCCTCCAGTCTGCAAGTCAAGACTATGAATAAAGTTAGGAAGCACTCAGTTTAGATAAAGTGTGTGGTTGGGTGAATGTGGCATTTTGTATAGAGCACTTTGAGTAATCTGGGAGAGTAGAAAAGTGCCATAGAAGAATCAGTCCATTCACTGTCTGAGCAGAGTTTCGTCATGTTACTTTTGCTGTACATGTTGTTATTACATGGCTTGATTAAGGTTCACATCAGGCTGACATCTGGGGCCAGAGCTGAAACTGTTCTGGGCCAGCACAGGGCCAGCAGCTGGCCTTGTGCTGGCCCATGTGTGGGCCAGCAAAAGGCCGTCATTCTGTGCGGTATGTGGGCCATGTGTAAGCACAGTGTGTGGGCTGGATCCGGGCCCACACAGCGGGCTGCTGCTGCTGCTGCTGCTATGTGGGCAGTAGCCAGCTACAGCTACCAACACCTACACCCTCCTGATGGAATACCTCTGGTTCTAACACATCATTTACGTACTGTAAGTGCTGGCAGAATACTTGGGTCAAATGGATGGCTGCTCAAATTTCCCTTCCAGGCCTTAGTCCAGATTAAAAAGTCACTTTGGTTCTTAGAGCACTGCACAGATATCATCCAATCATGGCTGCTTTATTTAGCTACTAGCCGAGCAGCTTAGGCAGCAAAGCTTTAAATAATCCAGTGAGGCTGTACAGATTAAATACCTGAGAGGTAAACGCACTGTCACCTTGTGGTCTAGCACATCGGACAGGACAAAGTATGAAGGTTCAATAAACAGGAGCATTTAGCTTCAGAAATAACAGGTAAGCTTTAGTGAAAAAACCAAAACTATGAGAATTATTTGTTCTTTTTCTACTTAAAACTTTATTGTTCTGTATCAGTTTGTGGTATTTTAAATCAATTTGAAACATTTATTTAATGCCATTTACAGAATTATATGTTTTTATTCACTTGGTTGTTTTTTATACATAGCACCAGTTCACAGTAACAGTTAGTTCAAGGTGCACTGTAAGGTGAAGACAACGAGCTCAGACCGACCACACAAAAACAACCCAAGATTTATCAATCAACTTAGACCCAATCCTTTGGTCTCAGATATGCTTAAAAACCTTTCAATGGATCAGAAATCCCAGTTTGCAATTAATACAATACAAAATATTACACAGAGTGCACTATACAGGTCATAGGATGTTCAAGATGGGCTATACGCCTTCCAACAACTGCTCACACTGCACAGCAAATACACCGGACAATTACATCCACACTCTTTGGTTCTGTCCACCAGTTCAGAAATTCTGGCGTGAGATATGTGAAGACTTATCAAAGTGTCTGAAATGTAACATTCCAGCCTTTAGTGTGCTTGCTGGGCAACTTGGATGAGGTCACTGCAGAAACAAACACAGCCCACGTTGTTTTTACGGCCCTATGCTTTGCCAAGAAAATGGTCCTCATTAACTGGAAAAATAAAAATAATCTTAATTCTAACCAATATAAAAACCATTTAATAGATCACATTGATCTTGATACAGCCTCTGCCATCACATTTGATCAATCCCTTTGGGCTCCTTTGATCGGCTTCATCACCTAGTGGGGGTGGGGGGTCATGGTTTGGTCCTGCCTTCGCTATTGTGGTTGATATGGGGGTAGGGACGGGCTTAGGGCGTCTGGGCAGTCCCTAGGGACGTTTCCCTAGAGGGCCTAACCCGGGGGATGTGGCCATGACCTGGTTAGGGGCTCTGGGGCTCTTGGATGGTGTTTTCCTTGTGGCTGCGTACAGCGGAGATGGGGGAGGGTCTGTGCTGGCGGACGTTGGTTACTGGCCTGGTAGCCTGGCTGCCCCTGGGAGGGTCCGGGACGGGCGTGGAGGCTTGGGGGTCTGGGGGTGCTCCGCCCCCCGGTCTGGGGTGCTGGCCGGGCCTTGGGGGCTTGGGTCCTGGCTGTTGTGTCGCCGGAGCAGTGGGTGGGTGGGTGCAGGGGGGCTCAGCCCCAGTGCAGGGGACCTCTGGTGCATCGGCCCTACTAGGGGGCTCTCTAACTGGTGGGGAGGTTGTTATATCTTTGCAGGTGGTCTCCTCACTACAGGAGCTCACTCTGCAGGTGGGGGAGAGATATAGGAGAGGTGGAGAATGAACTCAACCTGGGTGTCTATTGTCTTGTGTAGTTTGGGAGATGAGTGCCGAGTATTTGGTTGTGCATATGGAGTGGGACTGCACGTCTGTGTCCACGTGTGCCTGTTCGTCTGTGTCTATATGTCAGGTTGGGTCTTAGACTCAACCTCTCTGGGAACATCTCAGGCCCTCTAAAGTACGGAGGCCTATCTCCCCTCACCACACTCCCTGCCGGTGGCTGATGCCCTCAGACGTTGGTGTGTTGGTGGTCCTTGTCGTCTGGGGCTGGGCGCTCATGTATGTACCGGCTCACTCCTGGTGGCCGATTGGCGGGGCCGGGCGCCTGTGGCCCGGCTGGGCTCCTTCCGGGGGGTGGGATGCCCTCAGGCCTCTGGGCCTGAAGCTCGGTCCTCTCTGGCACAGCTGGCTGCCGGCAGAGCCCGCGGGCACGCCACTGCAACCCCCTCTGGCCTCTGCTCCGTAGCTGCGGGGTGACCTCTCCTTTGGGGCTCTACTCAGCTCTTCCCAGGAGGGTGGCACGGTTCCCCCCCCCTTTGGTGGTCCTCCTCGGGTCCTTGTACTCTGGGGCCTGGATCTCCTCCATACCTGCTTCATACCCTGGGGACGGGGCTTGGCTCCCCACACTCCCTAGCAGATCGTTACATGGAGAAACCTTTGGAATACAAGCATGCTGATCCACACAGGTATGCACACAGGTGTACACACGGGTATTCACAGACGCGGACTACAGCTTTCTTGGCTGCTGCCTCAAAGCACATTGTGCGCTGTCTATCTTGCGTGCTGCACAATATCGTTTATTATTTAGTATCTACTGTTATCTACTGCTAGCTAGTTTATTGTGATGGTGCCGTTTTTTTTATTATGTTGCTCTTTGTTGTTTGCTTTCTCTTCTGTTTTTTTTCTCCATACAGGTGACCAGGTGTTTTGTTTTTTGTTTGTTTTTTTTTTGTTTTCTTTCTTCCCCCCTTCTCACCGTCTCTTCTCCCCTTGGTTTTCTTTCTCTCCCTCTCTTTCTTTCATTCTTTCTCCCTGTCCTATCCCCCAGTCATGTCTGTCCCGTTTGTAGCAACTGAAAATAAAATAAATTCATAATTATAATAAATGGACCAATATGGCAAGGCCATGATGATCCACTTGGTAAAATAAATCCGCTTGGCATCTTTCTTGGCCTTAAGACAACAATTCTGATGGCTAAAGATCCAAACGGGACACAAAAAACAAAAAAAAAAAAACAACAACCCAATGAACAGGACTAAAGATAAACTATGGGCAAGAGTAGAAAGGTCAATGACATGCAGTTACCTTAGTATAATGTATGTAACCTACCCCATCATCTCCTCAACTAATGGGAAAATCAGAGCCAAACTTTGCATGGACATTATAACACATACAGTGATTATTAACATATGCTTGCAAAATATATAAATCTCAATCTTTACTCTGGTATTTTTGGATCAACAGAAGGCTTTCAGGAAGATTTTGGGGAATGCTGATCCAGTCCAGAAGTAAAAGAAATAAATGAATGAATGCAGGTATTCAAAAAATATATGTCAAAAGTCATACAAAATAGTCTTGACTGGTTTTTATATAGTGCTCTACTCTACTCTACTCTAAGCACTCTGAGAGGCCAGGGTTTGATCCACCAACCTTCTGATTAGTTGATGACCTGCTCTACCTCCTGCATCATGTACCAGTTAAAAATGCTAGAAATGTTTGAGTTTAATTTCATTCAGTTTTATTTCTATTGTGTGTGTGTGTGTGTGTGTGTGTGTGTGTGTGTGTGTGTGTGTGTGTGTGTGTGTGTGTGTGTGTGTGTGTGTGTGTGTGTGTGTGTGTGTGTGTGTGTGTGGTGCTGGTGTTGTGTTGTGTGTGTGTGTCTCACTCACCAGCAATGACATGTGGGATGGTAGTGATATTGAGCTTCTGCTCTGTACCTTTAACTCCACTTTTTGTGTCCTGCATTTCTAGCAAAATCGACTCCAGCTGAAAACAGAGGTGAATGAAAAAGATTAATATAAAAAGGACAAAAGAGACACAGCCTTTGGAAGCTGTCACTGTCGTCGAGATACTTAAACTCTCCCACTTGAGGCAGGAGTGCCCACTCCGTGTCAGGGTTCCTGACACGGAGTGGGCACTCCACCCTTTTCCAGCTGAGAACCATGGCCTCAGATTTGGAGGTGCTGATTCTCATTCCCATCACTTCACACTCAGCTGCGAACTGTTCCAGTGCGAGCTGGGGGCCATCACCTGATGAAGCCAACAGAGCCACATCATCCAAAAACCAGAGATGAGATTTTCTGACCACCAAGAGGAAACCTTCTGCTACTTGGCTGCATCTAGAAATTCTGTCCATAAAACTTATGAACAGAATCGGTGACAAAGGGGCAGCCCTGGCAGAGCCCATCACCAACCGGAAACAGGTCTGACTTATTGCCGGCAACACCCCATACTTCTGAAGCACCTCACACATGACACCCCGAACACGGTCAAATGCCTTCTTCAAGTCCACAAAGCACATCTAGATTGGTTGGGCAAACTCCTATGCACACTCAAGTATCCTCGAGAGGATAAAGAGCTGGTCCAGTGTTCCATGACCAGGACGGAAGGTACTGCCCCTGACCTCCATGCAACCTTGTAGAGGTGTGTCAACAAGACAGCAATACAACATGCAGAGCCTTCAGGAACTCAGGGGGTGCACCTCACCCTCCACAGGAGCCTCTGCCAGGGAGTTGTTTAGCAGCCTCAAAGACCTCACCCCCAAAGATGGACGAGTCGTCCCCCTCATCCCCAGACTCTGCTTCCTCCAGTGGGATTAAGGAGGTCCTCGAAGTATTCCTTCCACTGCCTGACAATGTTCAATGTTCAGTAGTGCTCCACCTGCAATATACATAATGCAGGTACAGCGCCGCTTTCCCCTCTTGAGTCGCCTGATGATTTGCCAGAATCTCTGCAAGGCAGTCCAAAAATCTTTTTCCATGGCCTCCCTGAACTCTTTCCACACCCGAGTTTTTGCTTTAGCCATTGCCACATGCTGCTTGGCCAGTCGGTACCTATAAGCTTTCTCCGAAGTCCTACAAGCTAACCAAGCCCGATAGGCTTTCTTCTTCAGCCTGCTGGCTCCCTTCACCTCCATTTGGTTCGGGGGTTACCACCACAACAGTTACCAACACTCCTGCAGCCGCAGCTCAGTGCAGCAGCTTCAGGCAATGGAGATGCTGAACATGGTCTATAGAGTTCGAAAATGTGACGTCATTTCCAGGGTAAAACCACAAAGGATTGTAGGTACTAGCTTGCTACAAGAAATCCCTTTCACTGGAAAGAACGGTCACTATCGCTGCCCCCTCTCTCTTCCATGCAAAGAGACAGACACAACGGCCGGGGACGTCGCCGGGTTTTCTTTGTCCAATTTTGGTGGATTTTAATGCTGTGGCTGACGCCAGTGGACTTTCAGTGTTGTTTTGACTGTGTGTTCTAAGTGGCCTGGGGTGTTTTTAACTGTTTAAAAAAAAGTGAAATAAATGATATTTTAGTAATCGAGTTTTATATTGTTCTTTTCGCTTGGCTACTCCACTGCTCTGTCCGTTTTTTGAAGGGTTGCCCTTCACTTAGAATAAAACCTGGTGTCCACCTACATATCTGGCTACTCAGAACATGTCAGTGTCCTGTACCCATCCATCGGTAAACTGGTACTGGGCTTGTTGCAGGGATCTGAAGTTACCAAACACTTCATGAGTGTATGCACTCACACTTAGGAACATATAATTATAAATATGAGCGTGATGAAGGTGGGGGCAGCACGCTAATGTCTTCAGTCCACTCTGTATGCTCGTGTGGGCCAAACCCTTTCATTACTTTGTTGTTTTTCCTCGTACTTTTTTTTTGCCTTTTTGTCAAGTCTGTCTTTGTACGGACCTGCCGTGTTCTTCTTCGTTTTGTACATAACTGTTTTTGGGGCAAATAAAATGCAAGTAGGGATTAAAACAGCAGAATGAATGGTTACCGGTGCTGGAAATGCTAGCGCTTGATGCAGTGTTTTGATTTTGCTGCCACTTGTACCCACAATGCAACGCACACAAGTCACGTAGTCTGTCGATCTCTATCCGGTTTTTAAAAAAGACACTAAAAACAGTCAGTGTTCACTGTCGGCTTCTCTCGGTTTTTATTACCACTAATCATTTTAAAGCTCAGTTTTTAAACCCTTCCTATGTAACTACAGCCCATGCAGCAGTATATTACTGACTAACCTCGTATTGTGGATGGATTATCTCAGTTGTTCTCCTGACTGAAGTTTACAGCATCCTGCCATGTGATTGCATTTGTCCCTAACTATCGGGAACGCTCACATTAACTTTTATCGAGTGGAAAAAAGTCCTCCGTTCATTAGCGTTCGTCCTCCAGCTTTACTGTTTATGTTATGCTAACATAGCTTTGCCGCGCTAGTGATCACGTAGCACATCATTATCTACCAGCTAGTCCAACTTCAGTAACCCTGCAGACGTCACTGCTGTTTAGTTTTCTGTTTTCATTTATGTTGGAAGTGATAGCAGAGCTGTAACTTCCTGCTAACTTCTAACTCCGTTAAATGTCATAAATTCCGTCTTCATGGATGCTGGGATGTTAAACTTAATTGTTACACCTGGTAGAGCAGCCACACTGATCATTTTATGAAAGATGAAAGAATTTAAAGAGTTTTTCAACTCTCAGTAATGCTGCAATGATCGTTTGACTTTGGGACCTGCAGCGGAGTTTGGGCCCAGACATGGCTAACGACGTTAGACTTAAAGACCGGACTGGGACTCAATGTCCCCAGTCTCCCTCAGAATGCTGTTGAAGCTCTGCCGGAGGTGTGTGTTAAAGATCTCATGGACCACTGTTCCCAGCGCACCCTCACTATACGTTTAGGTGTCACAGGTCTGTCCAGCACCGCCCCCCGCCACCTGATCCAACTCACCACCAAGTGTTGATCAGTTGACAGCTCAGCTCTTTACGTGAGTTTTTTAAAATTGGAATAGTAGTAAGCTGGGTCAGAATAGCTTTCATACTGTAAAACACCAGGCCTACTTTATAAAGTATACTGTACACCTCCAGGACACTGGGGCGTGCAGCTCGGATCTCAGCTGACCCTTCTCACCCTGGACACAGTCTGTTTGACCTGCTCCCCTCAGGCAGGAGGCTCCGGTCCATTCGCACCAGAACCTCTCGCCATAAGAACAGTTTCTTCCCCTCTGCTGTTGGACACATGAACAATAACCACATGACTGTCCCCACCACTAACACATGACCCTACGCTGTGTTCACTGCATCATTCCATGTTTTGGAATCATTCAGTGATCTCATGTATATATCTCATGCATATATCTTTCTACGTAGCACTTTTAATTCTTATTCTTACTTTTATTTTTTCATGTCTATTTAAGCGCAATTTATGACAGCATGTTTGCACTGAAGCACCGCAGCAATTTCCTAATGTTGTAAACCTGCTCAACATTTGGCAATAAAACCCTTTCTGATTCTGATTCTGATTCTAAAGAATCTGATTAGTTAGGTTAATACTGGAATACTTCTTTGTTTATCTTATTCCTGTGTCTTTGCCTCATTGTGCCAATGAATTGTTTGAAAGTTAATATCTTTATCTGAAGTGCATAACAATAAGGTTGTTCAGATGCTTTAGACTGCAGTGACACCATGCTGCCAAACAATAACACTAATTAGCTTTTAGGTGGACTAAAAGATTAGCTTCAGCAAGCCTCTTATGCTGGCAAACCAATCATGTTTAAATCTCATGCAAATGCATGGGTATCCATTAGATACTGCATGCAACAGAAAAATCTTTATATAATCTTAAGAACAGGGAGTAGGAAAACAAGGTTACTGCAGCTCGCGTGCTTTGTATTTTTCCTTTTTCACCAAAGCAGTTTATATAGAAATCTAGAACCTAACCTGAAAAAGCCTTTAATTATTGAAGAATGATGGATAATCAAAATATATTACAAAAGGAATACATAATAATGCTATAACAGAAATGCTATTGACCCACCTTTTTGAGGCAATACAAACGGGGCTGGAAATGTTGTGCCCGGTTTGGGCGCGCTGTTCTGATAGTCATTTTTGCAGATGAATGACGAGCGAATCAGATGTAAAGCAATCAAATCAAATCCTGGTATGAAATGTCCCAGTTAGAACAGGTTTAGTTGCTGACAGGCAAATGCATGCCTGCAGTGAACAGAGGTAACGTCTGTGAGGAGACTGTAAGACCGGAGGCTAAGGATGGATTAATCCTCCAGTCAGCTGTAAGCTTTTTCTCTCACCCAAGGCAATTACAGAGAAAGGCCTGGCTCAGACTGACAAGAGTCAAGATCGATGCTGTGTCTCAGGGTACAGTTGTAATGGCTGTAAGTAAGTAAAATGTATTTATATAGTGCTTTTCACAAAGTGCTTCACAAAGCAAAGAATGAAAATACAACATGTACAATGTAAAACAGCAAAATACAACATAAAAACAACAAATTAGTTGAAAGCTTGTCTATATAAAATGTCTTCAGCTGTTTTTTTAAAGAATCGATGGAGTCGGTGTAAAAACAGTGTCAGAGAATCCGCAGCCATGGTGCTGCTGTCTGAAAGGCCCGACCACCACGAGTTTAGATAGAGTGTGTGGGGCCGCCAGCAGACTCTGACCTGATGACCTCAGAGCTCGGGAAGATGAACGCGGTTTCAGCAGGTCAGATATGTACTTGACCATGTAGGGCCATGAAGGTTAGAACTAAAATTTTAAAATGCAACCTAAAACTTACAGGCAACCAGTGAAGGGAGGCTAAAACTGGAGTGATATGAGCTCTTGTGTTGGTGCCTGTTAAAAGTCATGCTGCAGAGTCTGAAGACAATTTAAAGCTGATTTGTTAAAACAAATAAAAAGACCATTGCAATAATGCAGACGGGAAGAAATAAAAGCATGAATAATCATCTCCACTTTGACACCATTAGTCCCAGTTTTGAAATATTCCTTAGATGATAAAAAAAAGTTTCGGACCAGCTGCTTAGAATCGAGCCACATCGAGCTGCAAACATGACACCGAGGTTTCTGAGGCTCGATTTAACAGAAGGCTCTAAGAAGCTGATATGCTGCCTGATTTCTGAGACCATGGTCTGGAGCAACAATTAGAGTTTCTGTTTTATCAGAGTTTAGCTGGAGGAAGCTGTCATTTAACAATTGCTTAATTTCTGTCAGGCAATTACTTAAACTAAACAATTTATGAAACTCAGAGACTTTAAAGAACAGTATAACTGAATGTCATCAGCATAGAGATGGTAGGAGATATCATTGTAGCGCCCAATAATTTGGCCTAGGCGGAATATACAAAGCATAAAGAGAATTGGACCCAGGACAGATCCCTGAGGTACCTCACAAAACAAAACTGTTGATCATCACTTGAGATCGTTCAGATAAATATGGCATGAACCATTTGAAACAACACCAGTAATCCCAAACAGGTTCTTCAGTCTGGTTATCATGATCCTGTGACCCACAGTATCAAAGGCAGATCCAACAGGACCAGATCTGTGTAATGAGCAGGCCACTACTATAAATCTTGGTTCGCTGGCACAGTATGTTGAACCAGTCATCACTGATCTGGGAGTTAAAATGGAGGCAGATCTTAAACTTGAAAGCCAGGTCAGAGCTGTTGTAAGATCTCGCTTTTTTCATTTGAGGCAATTAACCAAATTAAAGCCCGTCTTATCGAAACAGCTTTTTGAGACAGTAATTGTTGGGTTTATATTTTATTATTGTCATTTGTATTGAGAAACATGTAATCATTTGTGGTTAGAAGTATATAGTTGATGGCATATTGAAAGAATGTCTCATCCTAGGAGGTCTGTAACAGCTCTGTGTAGCATGAAGAGGGGGGTGCGTTCACTCTTCAGAGTGTTCTGGCATAGATCACACACCTGCTAGGAGAGGTCGTAGCTTCTCTTGCTGATATATGGTATAGCAAACACACGTATACCTGTTTGAGTGTAAGGGCCTTTTGTTCAGATGTACCGCTAGACTCCTGGCACCAGCTTTGGGGAGTCTTCAGGGGGCACATCTTGACCCCCCCACACACACACACGACACACACGACACACACGCACACACACACACAGCACGCACACCACACACACACACACACACACACACACACACACACACACACAGAATCCCACGTATTCAGTAAAATGCAAACTAAAACTGCATAATAACTTCACAATCTTTAATTAGGGGAATAACATGGCATAAGATAATACTATAATCCCACACACGACACACACAGACAAGGTACTCTTTGTCCACGTGTGTCCCTATATGAAACTTCATATGTTAATGACCCTATGCATATTCATGTAACCACAATAAAAGGAGTGCTATGGGGAAGCTGGCTGAGAGTCTGACGGAGGTCAAGTGGGTGGAACGACACTTGGCTCCAGGCAGGTCTCCCTCATGCATGAGTGACCCAGAGAACTATGGTGACTTGTGTCTTGCTTTTTGCTGTGTAGTAAATTGTCTTGAACGTTCCAGCGAATAGGTTTATGCTACAAACCTATCAGTAATCCATGCCTTTGTTACATCTAGGCTGGATTATTGTAACACACTGTATTGTGGGGTTAGTGATGCGTCCATTAGGTGTTTGCAGGTTGTGCAAAATGCCGCAGCACGTCTTTTAACTGGAACAAAAAAGTTTGACCACATTACCCCATTTTAATTTCACTCCACTGGCTACACTATCCTACATTTTAGGATTGTTTTTTAAATGTCTTAATGGCACCATAGAGGCTAAGATGAACAGGCACATGGCTCTCAATACATGAGCGGGGCATAGAAAGGGATAGGCAGAAACACCAGAGGGGCCAAACATGAGCTGCTGGTAGACCGAGCAGTCGTCCTAGACTGCAGCACCACACTGATGTGTCCTGTGTGTCGAAGCTTCGATGCCCGTGTCGGGTAATCTCGGGGGAGTTTTTGTGAAGCGCGTATCGAGGCTTGCTTTGATTACGTATGCAGTGACGTTCGAGGTCTCGCGGGCAGTCCGTACCACGTGACTGATTCAGGAAGTGGCTCGCCGGTTCGCGCCAGATTCGAAATAAAATGGCCAGCAAAACACAGCTGATTCCCCCGATCACACTGTGTTGTGGAATTGGACTACGTACGTCCTACATAGTTTCTTGAGCATTTCTTCTTCGATGGAACCAGCAAGGAAGAGATTTTTTCTCCTCTCTTCTAATAAAGTATGCACACAGTAATAAATATCAGGAATGATAAGCACCATAATATAAATAAACAACACTACAGATCCTATCATCTGATTTCTGTCTTTTAGTTTATTAAAAAGTGAAGCGCCACACACTAGTTTGTGTCATCCAGATGCACATAAGCATGATTACACAGTTACTAGGGGCGGGTTTTGATTATCGATTAAAATCGATTCTGGCTTGGATAATGTGATATCGATTCATTAAAATCCTGAATCAATTGTTTATTTTTTTTCCCTGAAATGCCAGAATCTCACGTTAAACCTCACTAAATTTCAACAACCACCAAACAGCTAGAACAGTAAATGACAGCAGGAACACGGCTTCTGCACAAAGACGTAAACACAAAGTGCCGACGGATCAGAATCAGTGAGATCAGCTTCCCCAGAGCGGCATCGTGGTGG